GCAGCACCAGCACCAGCACAAGATCGCATCCTCGCCTCCGATGCCGTGCAACCATGTCGGAACCCATCATGTCCATGTCCAGCCAGCCCCGACCAAAACCTGCTCTGGCCCAAGCCATCGAGGACACCACCGGGCTGCAGCTGCACCCGTACCCGCACCCGCACGCTCATCCTCACGCTCATACTCGAGACAGAAGCAGCAGAGGCCGAGAGAGCAGGAGTGGTCACCGCGGCCGAAAACAAGGCAAAGGGGTTCCGCATGGGCAAAGGGTATCTTGTCGCCATGGCCGCCGGGCGTGAATAAGCAAGCAAAGCAAGTAAAAATTGATTTTAAATTAATTAAAGCCAAAGTCTCTTTTATGGATGGCTCGGTTATTGATTTTGTACTTGCTTGCCTGTAGATGGGTGGCCTGGCGATCTGTTTAGGCGAGGTGCGTGGGGGGTGGGTGTGATGTCAGTTGGATATCATATCATATCATATGCGAGCCATGCTATATCACACTGGAAACTACCGTGCATGTGCCGTCTGTATTATTGAGCGTAGAGAGCGCGATGTTGGCAAGATTGGAGATACTTTTGTTAGAGACGACGGAAAAAGGAGAGAGAGAGAGAAGATGGAGAAAGAAAAAAAAAGCCGGGATGAAGGGCGCTCAGCTGAGCTTCTGATTGGCTGCGACAAGCGCGGCGACACGCGAGCTGAAGATTATATAATACTGCTTAGTAAGTGGGGTTAAGCTGAGTCAGCGTTTATTTAAACTTTTGCCCCGCGAAAATGGAAAAGTTGATATAAAAAAGATGAAGATGAGAGAGAAGACGATAGTAGATGATAGTAGATGATAGGAGATGGTGTAGATGATAGTAGAGATAGTAGAGTAGGAACAGCCCCAAGCAGCGCAAAGAGAGAACTCGAGATGCATAAAGTGCGCTCCGGCAGTTCGTCAGAAGTTACATACATACATACATACATACATACGTACATACCGACATGCATCAAAGGTAACTCAAGCAGAAAGTCAAGCAGTTCTTCACGACGAAACTCAATTCCAGCCATAAAAAGCAAGCATGAAGATATTCTCTAAAGTCACCCGGCCTCGACCACCGACAATCGATAACATGTACGGAGCACTGCACATCGATCGGGACAAGATGGTAGGTAGCAGATGGGCCCGTTTTCGCTTTATCCTGCCTCACATGCATGGCCCTAGCTGTCTGTGTCTATCAAGTGCTATACTTAGAAGGGCGTTCATTAATAGAGTGGGCATAATAGGGATGATCCCACCGCCACCGAGGGGAGGGAAAGCGGAAAGGGATCGAGCTGATCTCCGTGCCATCTACTACTCTACAGCGAGCATCACATTTGCACCCGTACCCCGGAATGCTTGGTTGTGTTTATGGAGCGTGGAGGTTGCCTTTGGAGGTTTAAGGGTAAGGGGTGAGAGTAAGGGTGAGAGATAACGTAAGATCCGCCAGGGCAGGAAAGTAAAGGCAGTTAAGTCAAAAGTAGAGGCCATCCACGGTAAAAGGAGTAGGTGGATGGTGATAGATGGTGAAAATAGTAGCGGGTAGTGCTGGTATTTCTTCTTCCTCTCTCCCCGTGTTCTTAGTTATCTTGCCACCCGTCCATCCGCCGTGTCCCGTCCGCCACACATATACATATACTACGATCAAAAGATGTACAGCCGAGGCCAAGCCTAGTGTTAAGAGTAGAGGAGAGAGAGAGAGTGAGTGAAGTAAAGGTAAATATTTGATAGGAAGGATAAGTAAGTAAAGCAGTAAGTACGTACGGGGTCAGTTAATGTGCATCAACAGGGGAAAAGCAGTGATAAAAAAGAAGGGAAAGGGGGTCGAAAAGCGAGATAAGCCACTCGAAGACACAGCAGAAAGGAAGGGATAATCCAAGATCAACAAGAAAGACAGAAGGACAGAAAAGACAAGGCAGATAAGGGAAGGGCAAGGGGGGGTTGGGGGGGTTGGGCAGAGCATGGGCAGGGGGGAGGGGAAGAGAGAGAACTGACAGACAACTTGGAGTAAAGAAACAAGAAAAACAGGACAGACAGGGACAGGAGAGGACAATCGAATCATTCATCATTTGCGTTTGTGAGTTGAGTTTGTGCAGTATGTATGTGCAGTTCAATCAAGTCAAGTCAGTTCAGTCAATAAAGTGTGAAGAGAAAGAAGACAAGGGGCGAGCGAACAAGCAGGCAAACGTGCATACATGCAGACAAGTCAAGGCAGTAGAGAACTGTTTTTCCCCCATTGCAATACCACCATTTTCCATAGGGAGGGAAACTGATTAGTTTGTTGTATGCTGAAGGGGGGGGAGGATATTTTTTTTCCTTTTCTTCTTCTTTTTTTTCGTTTTTAATATATATTTTTTTGGGCGATTTTTCCATTTTGCTTTTGGAAATTCGTAGTTTGTGTGTGTGTGTAAGAGAGTATGTGTGTATGAGCGTCATTCCTATTAGGTCGAGTCGCGCGTCGAGGTCGACTCCGGGGGGGTCATTCGATGATCTTCATTCGTTCGGCGTTTGGAGAGAGAGAGAGAACTTTTATTGCTTTATTTTAGAGTTGAGTTGGGGTCAGTGTGTAGAAAGTATGGGTTGGTGAGCGTAAAAGAAAATGGATAAAAAAGCAGTCTTTCGTCCTTTCGCGTGGGGTTACTGTTTCAATGTCGATATGAAAAAAAAAGAAAGAAAGAATAAGAAAAAGCGTCGAGTAATAATGAAAAGAAAAGAAAAGGAAAGGAAAGAGGTTATATGGCCTGTCCGTGTGTAGCTCCCCAGGTGGACATGGGAGGAGGCCCCTGGTAGGAGGTCTGGCCGGTGGCGGCAGTCCCCGAGTAGTATGGCTGAGAGGGTTGCTGTGGAGGTTGAGGGGGTTGCTGCTGCTGTGGAGGAGCCTGGATGGAAGCTCGACGCTGATGAGCGGCCTGAGCTTGAGCCTGCGCCTGCGCCTGAGCCTGGTCGTAGTACCCTGATTCGCGTCTGGCGGAAGAGGATGCATATGGTGACCTGTCGAGTGGTTGCTGCTGCTGCTGTTGCTGCTGCTGCTGCTGGGACTGTTGCTGCTGAGGATTGGGGGCCTGCTGCTGTGGAGGGGAGGTCTGAGGCTTTGAGTCTATGGAACCGGGCAGGCTGAAGCTGGCGCGCGAGTAAGTTGTGGCCGCGCTGGGAGATCCGGCCGGGTCGAGAGAAGTGGGCGGCATGTCTGAGGGTCCCGGCCTGGTTGGTATGCTTGGAGTGCGGTAGATGTGAGGAGCGGCCGAGGCAGCGGCCGAGGAGGGAGGATAGGCAGCAGCGGCGGCGGCGGCAGCGGCATTCTGGTAGGCGGCGGCAGCTGAGGGTCCACGGTAGGAAGCGTATTCCTCTGACTTTGGGGGCAGATCTGAGGTTGCGGCAGCGGGACTCTGCTGCAGATAAGGGTTCTGCTGTGGTGGCGCGACCCCGTAGCCGGGCACGGACGGCGGTGGGGGCTGCTGGGAAGGATGTTGCTGGTGTGGAGGAGGAGGCTGGTGGTGAGGGTGCTGGTGATGCGCAGACTGTTGCGGGTGGTGCTGCTGCTGTGAAGGATGCTGCTGCTGCTGCTGATGATGATGAGGGTGTTGGTGTTGTTGTTGTTGCTGCTGCTGTTGGTGGTGGTGAGAGGAGTAGGGTTGCGGCATGGCGTAGTAGCCTGTGCTCTGGGGCATGCCGTACTGGGGCACCATGGCTGCGGCGGTAGCAGGATTGGGACGGTATGCGTAGAGGGACTGGGAAGGGTCGCCGTCGTCGAGGCTGGGCTGGTCCGGGTCCTCGATGGGGGCACGGAAGCTCTGCTTTGTGGTGAGTTCCTGGCGAGGGCGGATATACCTGAGGGACTCGACCATGCTGGGCGGGCTGAGGACGCCGCGCATGACATCGTCGACGCTGTAGTAGGAGACGAGATGGTGGGTGACGCCGGAGACGGTGACGCTCATGGTCTTCTTGACGAGACCGGAGTCCTTGAAGCCGTAGGAGTCGACGAGGGAGCCGACGAGGGCGCGTTCGAGCTCCGACTGCTGGCCACGCTCGGGGCCAAAGCCCGTCCCGTTGCCAGAGACGGGCCCGCCAGCACCAGCGCCTCCAGGCCCAGCGCCGGCGACGGGCGAGGGGGCGCCGGGAGAGTAGGCAGAGCCCGTCACGCTGGCGACGGAGCCAACACTGCCGTTGACGGGGGTTCCATTGTCCTGCAGACGCGGGTATGGCTCGCCGGCTCTGGCAGACTGGGTCGGCCGCCTGCTGCCCTTCTTGACGGCGCGCTTCTTCTCGCCGGGAGGAAAGGGTTTGTCGAGCTCGCGGTAGACGAGGAAGTTGCCCAGGATGCGCGAGGGGCTCCAGGTGACGCCGTCCGTCCAGCGCTTGATGCCCGAGGCGTTCTCCTCGTAGATGAAGACTGATCCCGAGCGGACGAGCTGAGCGCGCTCGCGGTCGTGCGGGCGGCGGGGGACGTGGTGGAGGACGCCCGTGAGGCAGGCTTCGAAGAGGATGAGGGCGTCGTGAGTCGAGGCGACGTAGCCTGTGTACGTCGGCTCGAGGACGGCCGCAGAGCCGTTGCCCATGATGAGGTATTTATTTGTGGTGGTGGTGGGAAGATGTGGTTGTTTTGTAGTGGTTGTGTTGTTGTGGTGTCGAAGAGGTCGAGGCGGCGGTGTTGTGGTTGTAGTGGTGGTTGTGGTAAAGTTGAGGTGTTGCTGGGAATAACACAAAGGCACGCACGCACCGGACGAGAGTCAAAGGGCGGCGCTTGAGCAACGTCGGGCGAGCCTAAGGGAAGCCGGCGAGCAACAGACTCTAGGTTGGCGAAGTCAGACAGGGAGGAGGCCTTGCTTGACTCTTGAGTCTTTGAGTCTAGCTTGACTTCTGGATTCTGGCTGTGGACTCGGGGACTCGACTCTAGGTTGGAAGTCAGAGTCGATCAAGCGTAGGTTAAGAAGTAGAAGAAGAGAAGTAGTAGAAGAAGAGGAAGAGTAAAGAAGAAGAGAAGATGAAGAAGAAGAAGAAGAAGAAGAAGAGCAAACCAGCCGACGAGCTATGTAAGCTGATCGACGGCCAGAGAGGAAGAAGGCGAGAGGAAGAAGAGGAAGAAGTCGAAAAGCAGAAGAAGTAAGAAGTAAGAAGTAAGAAGTAAGAGGAAGAGAAGAAGAAGAAGAAGAAGAAGAAGAAGAAGAAAGAAAGACGA